TCCCTAGTCTATTCATTCTCTTAGATAAGAGGTCAGCAAGCTTTTCCTATAAAGAGCCAGATGATAAGTATTTTAGGCTTTGTGAGCTAGTCTCTGTCTCATACTCTTTAATGTGTTTACATTTACCCCTAGGTTTGTATACGCATATTTGATTTATCTATCTATTCATTCATGCATTTGTTTGGTATTTATCCTTTTTGATGTTCTCTGAGTTTCTTGGATCTGTGGTTTGGTATCTGTTACTAATTTTGGAAAATTCTCAGTCATTTATTTTTCAAATATTTATTCTTCCTCACCTTTCCTCTCCCACCAGGATTCTAATTATGCATATATTAGAATATTTGATATGGTGTCACAGCTCTTAGATGCTCTATCGTTTCCTTCCACCACTTTTTCTTCTCTTTGCATTCCTATTGACCTATGTTCAAACTCACTGATTATTTCTTCTGCTGTGCTATGTCTGTTGATGAGCCCATCTAAGGCATTTTTTACTTCTTTTTTTTATGTCTAGCATTTCCCTTTGATTCTTATAGTGTCCATCTCTCTGCTAAAATTATCTGTCTGATCTTGCATATCATCTATCTTTTCCACTTGGGTCTTTAAAATATTAATCATAGTGACTTAAATCTGTCCAGTTGTTCCAGTATCTGTATCTTCTTTGGGTCTGGTTGATGATTGCTCTGTCTCTTTGGACTGTGCTTTTTCTTACCTTTAGGTATGCCTCATAATTTTTGCTGGAAGTTAGACATGTTGTATAAGACAGTAGACACAGAGGTCAGTATTTTTATGCTTGAAAATAAGAACATCTTTCTTACTGTTAGGTTTTTATTGTAAGGATTTGTGTTAATCTAGTTAGGGTGGGCTGGATTTGAAGTTTGTAATTGCTATAGTTACCAAAGCGGGAGTTTGTTGCTGCTCTGGACACTAGCGATTTCAAATTCCTGTAGTGGTACCTTGTTTTGAGCTTGGTTTTGGGTTTTCCTTTGTGCTGCTCCCTAGAAAGAAAATGCCTTGCAAAACTCACTTGGTCACATTCCACTGAGATTTTTACCAAAGGTTTGTTCATGTAATGGGGGAAGAGTGACAGGTTTTCTGATGTTCCAATTAAGCCTCAATCTTAGGCAGGTACTGTGAATTTGGGACTTGGGGCTGTACCCTTCGTAAATGTTCCCTTCTCAAGGAATATGACTGTTTTTTAACATTTAGGGTTTTTTTTTTCCTGCCTGTTCTCTTTCACCAGATTCACTGGATAACCACCAGTGTCCTCAGACAATGGGTTTGATACCGTTCTCCCTGCAGATAATGGCTTTCTTTTCCTAGGAAAGATTTCACAACATACGTGTGCGCAGAGTCTGAGCAATGATTGCTTTTCCTGTCCCCTAACCAGCATCATAGGAAAGTTTTCTCTAAATACTTCCCCAGTCTTCCCTGAGAGAGCCTGCTCACCTTCACATTTCATGCCAGCTCACACCAAGTCTGTAGCAGTTCATTAAAAAATTTCTGGTTTAATCTTTGTACCAGCTTATATGGCATTCAAAAGCATCTATCTCAGTCAAGCAGTTCCTATCCCAGAATGCTCAGTTCCTATTGCTTTCTGCAGGCACCTGTCCTTGAAATTCTGCGTTGGTTGTCCTCTGACTTCAGTTTTCTGAAGGGTTTAAGAAAAGGTGTTATCTTGCAGTTTGTCCAGCTATTTTCCTTGTTGTAGGAATAAGAGTGTCATCATTCCCGCTCTCTTCATCACCAAACTGAAACCTGAAGCCTCCAGAAGCTAAATATATAAAGAATTAAGAGTTCTTTATATATTAGGTGTATTAGCCCTTTATCTGTGAGGTATATTGCAAATATTTTCTCCTGGCCGGGCATGGTGGCTCACGCCTGTAATCCAGCACTTTGGGAGGCCAAGGCAGGAGGATCACCGGAGGCCAGGAGTTTGAGACTAGCCTGGCCAACATGGTGAAACCCCGTTTCTACTAAAAATACAAAAATTAGCCAGGTGTGGTGGCACGCATATGTAATCCCAGCTACTCAGAGGCTGAAGCTGGAGAATCGCTTGAACCTGGGAAGCGGAGGCTGCAGGGAGCCAAAATCACACCACTGCACTTCAATCTGGGCGATGAAGTGAGACTGTCTCAGAACAAACAAAAAGAAACCAAACAAATATCTTCTCCCAGTTTGTCAACTGTCTTTCGATTTTGTTTATTTTGTTTTTTAAACTCTGCCCGTTTTGCCTTTCCCACAGAAACCGCAATAAAAACCCCAACTTAGGCTTTACCCTCAGTACTGCTTCTGCCTGACCAAACTGTATCTCTCCTGTGGCTCTGTGTGATGTCACTTGTCCTCTTCTCCATGGAAGTATTAATCATAAATTCTTCTTTCAGTGGCACTGATCTATCTGTGTCATCACTCAAGTCAACCACATAAATTAAGACCTGGGCACAGAACAACTCTGATTCTATTTCTATAAAATTCTAGAAAACGCAAACTAAACCATAATGACAAAAAGAATAATAGTGGTTTCCTAGGGATGGGATGTGGGCAAAGAGAGACGAAGGAAGGAGGGATTACCAAGGAGCACAGGGAAATTTCGGGATGAGGGATATGCTCATTGTCTTGACTGGTGATGGTTTTACAGGTGGGCCAAAACTAATCAAACTTTACACTTCATCTATATGACCAGCTATCATATGTCAATTATACCTCAATAAAGCTGTTTTAAAAACACTTAGGGTATACCTACTGAAAATAAAACTGCTTTTAAGTACAGACTATATCATCATGTGCATAGAAAAATCCAAAGGATTCTACAAACAAGCTACTAGAACCGCTGACTTCATCAAGATGCAGGTACAAAGTTAATATTCAAAATCAACTATATTTCTATACAAAGGCAACAAAAAATGGAAAAATAAAAATTTTAAAATAATACCATTTATAATAAAAGAGTACTGGGGAAGACTGTACATTGAAAAAATACAAAACATTGCTGAGACAAATTAAAAATAATCAACAAGATGGAGATCTATACTATGATCATGGATTAGAAAATTCAATATTGTTAAGATGTCAATTCTTCCCAAATATGTGTACAAATCCAACATAATCCCAACCAAAATCCCAGTAGGTTTTTTTTTTTGAGAAATTAATAAGCTGACCCTAACATTCAGATAGAAATGCAATTTTAAAAAGGAAAAACAAAGTGAGAGAACTATCTACTTTGAAGATTTATTGTAAAGCTACAGTAATCAAGACAGTGTGGTACTGGCATAATTATAGATCAAGAGAATAATAGAGTCCAGAAACAGATTCACACATGATGTGGTCAATTAATTTTCAACGAATGTACCGAGACAATTATTTCAATGGGGGAAAAGACAGCTACCATAATGGAGCATTTTTTGGCATTCTGAAAATGTTTTGTAACTCAATTGTGGTGATGGATATATAGCTTCATACCTTTGTCAAAACTCAGAGAATGGTACACTCACAATTGGCACATTTTATTACATGTAAGTCATACCTCAAAAAAGCTGAGTTGGTGACAAAGATTTATATATGTTGTTGATAGAAGAACAAATCCAAATGCTTATTAAACATGGAAATATATTTATCCCCATAAATAATAAGGGAAGTACAAATTACAACAAAAAGCATATCACAGCAGTCATAATAAGAGTAAAAATCACAGGGTCTGACAATTCAAAATCTAATAAGTATATGAGAAAATTCTAGACAGCAGTGTGAACTGCTACATTTGCTTCAGACAGCAATTTAGCAATATCTGGTAAAGCTGAAAAAGCACACACTCTATAACAGCAAGTCCACTTCTAGGTATATATCCTAGACAGAATACTGCACATATACAGAAGAAAAGCACACAGAAGTGCACATTTTAGATTACATTGCTTGTAATTGAAAAATTGGAAATAATATATTAAGATGGGGAAATACATAAACTTTAGAATTATAAAATGGTTAAAATTAGAGAAATTATATATATACAGAAAGTTCAAAAATATAATTTTGAAGAAAAAATCCTACAGTGACACATTCAGTGTGAGATCATTTATGTGGACTTAAAGCACATAATAAAACAATCTCTGAAAACAGAGATTGGATGGATACACACACCAAATTTTAATAAAGGTATGCTGGACTAGAAGCAGAACAAAGGTGATTTTAACTGTATTTATAATATTTTAATTATTGTAAAATAGTTGATGCAAAAATGACAAAGATCAGCATTTATTTATTTTAGATGGTTGATCACACACATTTGAATATTATTTTCTAAGTCTCTGTAGTTTTAAGCATTTCAAAATCTAAAGAAGAATAATTTTAAAATACTATAAAAATATGAATAAAGGACTAGAAATCAGTAACTTTTAATTAATAAGCTGGATTCTGAGACAACTTTAAACTCGACAGTAGTATTTACCATGGTGTCAAATTTAGCATTTATCTTGAGTTCACAAGCCGAATTCACTAATTTTGTCTCCATTTTCAAATTTTTAGCATTTGTAGACTACTATAACAACCATACTCTTTTAGGCTAAGTGTTGCAAGATAGTAATAGATTTCTGGCTGTGTGACTAAAGAAATCTTACTGTACTAACGTAACTCCAAGATTACTATTCAAGCTCATCACTCTCACTGTCCCTTTGCGTGGTCATCGTGCCCACATATGAGGTGTCCAAAGCCAAAAGCCCATGCCCATTTAGAACCTTTTTGGCTCCCATGACTCTCTTTTCCATTTGGCTTGTCTATTACCCTGGCCATTATTTACACACCAGGGTTCATTCTTTGAGTTCATAAGACAACAGTTTCTGAGGTCTTTAAATTTTACGAGAGGAACTTACGAAATTCTGCTCAACTGTAAGGATACACAAAATTAATTCACTTGAAAGCTCCTCTCCCTTTCTTTTTAACAAGATTGTGCTGACTATTTTTATCTGATAAAGAGGATCACTCTACAAATATTATTTGTCTCAAATGATGACTCACCTCTGGATAAAGATGGAAGCGTTTTACTGTATTAATTACAAGAGGATATTCAGTAAGCCTGTCATTCATAATCATCCACAGTCCTTCCAAAAATGAAGGTGCTTCAATAATGGTCTTGAAGTAGGAATAATAAAGTCCCTTTAAAAAAAAAAAGCACATATTGTCAATGTAATTAAAACTTTAAAATAATTATTTTTATCACTTCTATAGAACATTTTTTTCCAGAAAAAAAAGGTCAATAATAAGACTTCCTAATTACTCCTCGCTGTTTTGCATTCTTGGACTTTAAAAAGCACGTATTTTCAGGTGATCACTGTACTATTCTTTCAAATTTTCTATAGGCTTTCAAACTAAAGAGTTGGAGGGATGGTCAAACGATTTAAAGAGTTTCTCTAATAATGTCTTAAAAGGTGTAGACTGTATATGTTTAATTTTCCCAAATCTGGTTTTATCCCTCACATTTGAGATGCTTGAAGGTTCACATCTGATTAATTCTATCATAAACAGGGATGCCTTCATGCCTCTGTACAACTTTGCATATAGAAAATTACTTCTTTTTTTCCCATGCTCTTAGGAAATAAAATATAATGACCATAAGTATCATGAGCAAGGAATCCAATGCTTCTAGCTTACTTCATAGCTCCATCAAATCCTCTGTGCAAGGTGAAAGCTCAATGTTGATTGACTATTGTTGCTCACAAATGCTATATACTAAAAAGCATATTACTTTAGTGTCTTACACTTCAGCATATAAAATAAAGGCTTCATTAGGATAGTAAAAGTGCTGTTGAGTTAAAATTCATGGATTAACAACAGCATGTTGTGTCTTATTTCCCCATCAGTTTCTTGCTTTCGCTCCTAAAATGTAAAAAGCTAAAAAGGACCACATTGTTTAAAATGCACTCTCCCTAAAAAATGCTATATGCTATAATCATATCTGCCTCATCCAACACGAGTAACTGCTAAATTAAAGGTCTGTTTTAGCTGCTGTCTGAAAGGCCATTACCTCATAGTTGATTGGCAAAATATGAGTTCATAAAGAATTTTCCTTTCTGCTTAGGAAGATAACAAAACAATATAACAATTAAAGGATACCTAATATGCAAAAGTCTATATTTAGGGAAATATTAAAAATATAAGTTACTAATAACAGCTATTATTTTGTGTTAAGTATTCTGCTATGTGTTGCCATTCACTATCTCCCTTCATTTTCCCTAAACCCCTCTAAGGTTGGCATTGTTTTTATTGAGCAGATGAAATTACTGAGAATCTGAGAGGTTACCTGACTAGCCATCATACAGGAAAGCACAGAACTGCTATTAGAATCCAGCAGTCTGTCACCAAAGTCCAGACTCTGCCACAGTTACACTCTTTATTTAATAGTATTTTATATTCTGTCTTTGGAAATACCTTTAAAATGTTCAAATGTCATACATATGTTAATGTATCCAATGCTTTGAAACTTTATAGGGGCAATATAGGGATGAAAATTAAAAAGCAGTGACTGAGGGGCCTAGCATAGGCAAATTCATAGAGACAGAAAATAGAGTTGGGTGTGATTAGTGTTTAGTGGGTGGAGTTTCTGTTTGGGATAGCAAAAAGTTCTGGATGTGGACAGTGGTAATAGTTGCAAGACATCACAAATGTACTTAATGTCACTGAATTGTACGCTTAAATGATAAACATTGAAATTTTTTATTACAAATTTAAATCTAAATTTTACCATAATTTAAATAAAAAGCAATGGCCAGAGTGAGGAGAACCAGTTTCAATGCTTCACTAGGCCCCCGACCAGCTGCAAGCAGATCTGGAAGATGGACGGTTGTGGTGTCTTCTAAATGTAAAATTGTGCAATTTTGGCATTCGCGATCCCACTTACTCCTCACAATAATTATGTGAGATGTGTATGGCAGAAAACTCCATTTTAAAGATTAAGTATCGAAAAACAGAAAATTATTTAAAAATTATATCAAAAGTTATCTCTTGAAAGAGATTATCTTGAAACCAAAAGATAGCCAAATAATAATCATCATCATTAAAAGACCCAGGTGAAACATGGAATCTCCCAACTGTAGCCAAAGAGAAAGCAATTTCTGATAACATCTCATTTCATTTCGCTTTATCACTTCCTCAGTGCTTCCTCTGTCCTCCTTCCTCACCTATTATAATTCATCTTTATTATCTTAAAAAGAAGTCTGCAGTAGGAAGAGTGAGAGATAATGAAATAAGTAACAGAAAAATAATCTCAAACACTTTACTATTTAAATAATAAACCTGGGTTATAGCTTATGAAACAGTGCAGCTCACCAAAAGTTCGTTTCAATTCCTAATACATTTCTACCTCATAGTCTCGCTATTCTTAAACCACAAATTAATTCGTTAGAAAAAGAAACCTAACCATTTCAGTGCGAAAAGTCATCTCCCGTTCCAAAGATGAGAGGTGAGAGAAATGACGATCATTTTCAAAAAGTGTTACTAAATGTAACCTAGAAAAAAATGAAGTATCATATTACAATAAGAACAAGTTTTATACCCAACAGTAAAATAAGTGATAAGTAAGAAAGCCATAAAAAGAAAACAATAAATTGTTATACTAGTAATTTTATAATTTGCTTACTAACTTGTATGTTTTTAGGCATTTATAATCCAGTATGGCACACACCTGAAATTCCTTAACTCAGTGGTTTTTAAGCTTAATTGTGGCCTGGTGCGTTGGCTCATGCCTGTAATCCCAGCACTTTCAGGGCCCGAGGCAGGCAGATCACTTGAGGTGAGGAGTTCGAGACCAGCCTGCCCAATATGGTGAAACCCTCGTCTCTACTAAAAATACAAAAATTAGCCAGCCATGGTAGTGCATGTCTGTAATCCTGGCTGCTAGGGAGGCTGAGGCAGGAGAACTGCTTGAACCCAGGGGGCAGAGGATGCAGTGAGCAGAGATCATGCCACTGCACTCCAGCCTGGGCGACAGAGTGAGATTCTGTCTCCAAAAAAACCCACCTTAATTGTACATCTAAAATGCATGTGGCTTTTTTCACCCTTCCTTCCATCCCAGGCCTCTAAATAAGAACAGAGGCAGGTCATTGTTTGTTTTTTAAGTTTCAAGTGATTCTAATCTACCAGCCTTGGGAAATACCTCCATAACTGTTGAAAAAGGTTCAAAATATAATTTTAAATAAAATTACTTTAGATCAAAGCAGACTTACAATAAGTATAATATCACATAAGGGATCAACTTTCAAGTGCCAAAGAATACAGGTGTGTGCTTGAAGACATTTTAGTAGTGAAACTCAACAGCTGTAGGCAGTGAAGAAAGGAGCATATGTGATAAACAAAATTAGCTGCAGTCAATAATCATGCTATAGCTAACTTATGTAGTCAGTACTTGCCAGTGAAGTTGAAAATAAAGCAAAGTTCCATATACTAACCCTGTTTTCCACCAACCCTTCTTTACATGTAGGACATATGCCAGGGTACCAAAAACTGCAGGAATATTCCCTACTATTGCAGCCTCAGTTCTAACATCAAAATCTCCCTGCAGACTAAATGTCTAGAGCAGCACTGTGTCTACAGAACATAGAGGCAGATCTCATACCTCCCAAGGGTAGAAATCGCTGAGTACAGGTAAAAATAAAATATTCCAGAGGGAAATATTATTTTACGAAGTTTTTAAAACACTTTTGTAAAATAATATACACAGGCTTGCACACTGAAAGACTCAAAGCCATTTAACTCTGTATAACCACTGCAGAATCTTTATCTTCTTTTTTACCTGATTTCCAATTGGCAGGTGTTACTAAACTTTACCACTGGCTGGCTGTGCTGGCTCATACCTATAATCCCAACAGTTTGGGAGGCCGAGGCAGGTGGATCATTTGAGGTCAGGAGTTTGACACCAGCCTGGCCAACACGGTGAAACCTCGTCTCCACTAAAAATACAACAAATTGGCTGGGTGTGGTGGCGCACACCTGTAATCCCAGCTACTCGGAAGGCTGAGGCACGAGAATCACTTGAGCCTGGGAGGCAGAAGTTGCAGTGAGTCAAGATTGTGCCACCACACTCCAGCCTGGGAGACAGAGCAAGACTCTGTCTCAAAAAAAAAAAAAAGAAAAGAAAAAGAAAAAGTTATTTCACTAGCAACATATAATTACCATAAAATAAAGGAGGGTTTTAAATGAACTACACATGCAAAATACACTAGAAAAGCTAGATATTTAAAGAAACATGTAGTGAATTATTTGGTAAAGCAAAAATATTTTAATTCATAAGTTACTATTCCCCTAATGCATCTATTTTGTAAATGCTGTTTCATATAAGTTTGTAAAAAAGCAAAATACATGCATAAATTGGTGCACATAAAGATGTTTTACAACTATAGCCAGAAGTTATTGTTTTACTGTATGCAAAGAGTGATGGCAATTTTTAATTCAAATGTTTCTAAATATTTCAAACTGAAACTAAATCTTACCAATGTAAAATTGCCACAAAGACGGCTGGAAAAAAGAAAAAAAGGAAAGTTATTAAAAGCTGCTTTATTGTAAAATACCTTTAAAACAAGTATTTCAAATGTATTATTTTACATGCCTAGAAATATAGCACACAAAGCAAGACGGACAGCTAATCCTGTCTCTATGAGCATAGGAAAAAATCCAGGACACAAAGTAAATCCTGAACAGAGCTTACCTCTCTGCAGAGGGGCTTGACAAGCAAAGGGAGAGACTTGAGAGGGTTTTTTTTACTTCAGGTAATTGTTAAGAGTGATGGAATTATGGAAGATTGTGACTTTTTTGGTGTTTTTTTTTTTCAGTATTATTTTCTATTCCTTTATATGAAATGTTTAAAAGAAGTAAATATATACAGTATGCTTCACTAGTTCTAACCAGGAGGAGCCACTCTAGATCAGTTTCCCTAGCATTCATCAAAAGACGATTAAATATAGGCAATCACTTCCTCAGCAGCACATCTAAAAGCCCCATTGTGCAACTCAACCCTTGATGAATCACAAGCTCTTTGCAAGCGCCCAGACCTAGGAGCTACTAGATGGCCTAGGAGACTAATCTGGAGTCACCTGTGCCAGCGCCCCATGTATACGTAAGACTTCACCAGGGAGCTGGGAGACACTGCTCTGGGTATGGAGCTTTTACAGGAGCTGCAAACGCAGCCTGTGCCCCTGTTTGGTTGGGGAATTGCTTGTTTTCAAAGGTACCATGGAGCTGGAAGAGAAGAGTGGGGAATAGGACAAGTTAAAACACCACAAACTTTGCTGTTCTTATAGAGGTTCAGCAGCTTTTCTTGAATTAATGCCCTTTAGATTGTTGTAAACCTTTGGTTAATTTCCAAAGTTTTGAAGAAAATGATTTTGATAATTTTCCAAGTATTTTCATTGTCGTCATGGAGGAGTGCATTTCCTTGGCTATTCCAGAAGTCCTACCTCCCTTCTGAGATTTTATAATGGTATTTTTTATGGTTGTCCCAAATATACTTGGCAGGTCATCTTATAACCACCAATAATAGCCTCTTAAAAATTCAAAAATTACTCCACTTGGCTAACAAAATAAACGCAAATTAATTCAATAATTATTGAAGAAATTAAATTTTTAAAAATTAAACAACTGCAATGTTGAAATTCTCAACCATGCTTATCCAGATCTTTTCCTACATCACTAACTGTCCTGGGCTTATCTTAAATACTTCTCAGATTTACTTGTTTTATATCAAGATAGGCAAAGTATGGCCCATGGTGTATTTCTGGACTGTCTGCAAGTGCGGTTGCTGTAACTTTTAAAAGGTTGAAAATTGTAAAAAGTTGTAAAGATGCTCATTAACTGTTATTAGGCTTCATTAATTTTAAAATATACAGAGACTATCCTATTCAACTATATTTGTATCCTATTTCTAATTCTCCTAACAATTATATACACTGGCAAAAACTCTTCAGATGATATATAAGGAAAAGGTCAAATATACTACGAAATTCATCCAGCTTTCCAAAGATGCTCAAAATCTTTGTGTCTCTCAATCCCTCCCTTAACCCACATAACACATCTGAAAAAAAAAAAAAAGGATACGGTGTAGTGATGCCAGTATTCTAAATGCTTGAAGGGCTTATCACATGCCTTTTCCAAGCTGTGACAGAAGCATGTCCCCTGGACCCGGACATCCTATCAATCTCACCTCGGAAGGTGACCCAGCCTCATACTTCACTGAAACAGACCATTAGTCGCCAGCACTCCCAACTTCTTTTATCTCCAATTTAACATTTCTCCGTATAGTAATCCTCGCTTTTCTAGTTCCTGCCATCTCAGAAAAGGAATTCTCTCTCCTCTTTTCCACAGTTAGCTTCTCAGAGTTGTGCCTTTAATTCTACCCTCCCAAATATTCCAACCTTTGCTCCACTAATTATTTCCTCTCTTGGAATCTTAATCTCATCCTCTTCCCTTGATCCTTCCCCTCAGTCTTTAAAACTCCTAGACCTTAAAACACTCTGCGATCTGACAGCCCGTCAAACTAATATACTCCCCATCTCTCTCTCTCCCCTTGTTCAGCGACAAGCTCTTTGGCCAACTCCTTTCTACTCGGACCTTGCTATTATTTACTACTAGGCACCCACAAACCCTTGCTTGTTAAATTGCTCTCCTTCAAGACTCAAGAAAAGCGCCACGCGGCTCCCTCTAGGGCTCTCCTGCCTTCTCCTCACCGATGCCGAGAGTGGTCCTGGTGGAGAACCGCCGCGCCTGCAGTTCGTGCACCTTTTCCCGGAGCTGCGCCAGGAAATTATGGACGAACTGGAAGGGGCCGAGAAGAAATGTGTTGGCCATCACCTCCAGCTCCAAGCCTTTTCGCGCTTTCAGATTTCGGATCCTCCGCGGGGAGGACCTCCTGGCGCCCCTTGGCAGGTTCCGGCCGCATAGCGCCGACCTTCCCACCTCCTCCTCCACCTCCGGCTCCCGGGCGGGGGAGGCCCCGCGCCGCCGCTTAGGCTGGCTGGGGCGGGAAGATTGTAGCGGCTTTGAGCTTACTCCTTGTTTTCTCATAATCCCT